ACAAATGGTTGAAAACTATATCTTAATAAGATGGATTAACCTGATCAGAAGGAATACTTAGTACTTTACCGAAACAAATGGTTGAAAACTATATCTTAATAAGATGGATTAACCTGATCAGAAGGAATACTTAGTACTTTACCGAAACAAATGGTTGAAAACTATATCTTAATAAGATGGGTTAACTTGATCAGAAGGAATACTTGGTGCTTTATCGAAACAAATGGTTGAAAACTATATCTTAATAAGATGGATTAACTTGATCAGAAGGAATACTTAGTACTTTACCGAAACAAATGGTTGAAAACTATATCTTAATAAGATGGATTAACTTGATCAGAAGGAATACTTGGTGCTTTACCGAAACAAATGGTTGAAAACTATATCTTAATAAGATGGATTAACTTGATCAGAAGGAATACTTAGTACTTTACCGAAACAAATGGTTGAAAACTATATCTTAATAAGATGGATTAACCTGATCAGAAGGAATACTTAGTACTTTACCGAAACAAATGGTTGAAAACTATATCTTAATAAGATGGATTAACCTGATCAGAAGGAATACTTAGTACTTTACCAAAACAAATGATTGAAAACTATATATTAATAAGATGGATTAACTTTATCAGAAGGAATACTTAGTGCTTTATTGAACCAAGTATCTTAATAAGACAAGCAGTTTGGTTTATTGGAAAATGTACTTTATGTTTACTCAAAACAGGTGGTTCATGACTAGATGACCTTAATAAGACAGAGGGATTAACTTACTTGATTGTTATACTACTTCAAACTCTGAACAGAATGATATGATGAATAAATATTGGTAATGGAATATAGTATATAATGTTTCTTTAAACTGAGGTTTTTATACTTAAGCAGAACAAGTAAGTGGTGTGGCTTCACTTTTCATATTTCCCCAGACAAAGCTAGTTAGGGTTTGATTGCTTTACTAAAACTTTTATGTATATGTATACTCTTTTTAAACAGTAGTTTAGTTATACTTTCCAACTCTCGTTCTCGAATACTTAGACTGTCCAGCATAATATACAATGTAATTCGAAAGTTAATTGACTGACAAATACTTTTGAAATGGAGCAGTATACAAGTATTATTAGTATATTGGTGAGGTGTTGTGGGCCTACCCTATGACAGCATCATTAAAGATCAATCAGTGTCAAATTCTTTGGATATTTTAGTAATAAGTGTATTTCATAAATCAAAATGTCAATGACAGAGGTAAGAAATGAAACATTTTAAACTGGAAATGATCAAAATTGCTTCTCAAGAAGAACGGATTAAATTCACCCTTCCAGTTTGTGCCACAGATTATTGATTCCTACTCTAGTAAAGGTTGTTACACAAACCTAGGTTTGTGTTGCAAGGTCAGAATTGTGCCACAGATTATTGATTCCTACTCTAGTAAAGGTTGTTACACAAACCTAGGTTTGTGTTGCAAGGTCAGAATTGTGCCACAGATTATTGATTCCTACTCTAGTAAAGGTTGATACACAAACCTAGGTTTGTGTTGCAAGGTCAGAATTGTGCCACAGATTATTGATTCCTACTCTAGTTTTCTGACCTTGCAACACAAACCTAGGTTTGTGTAACAACCTTTACTAGAGTAGGAATCAATAATCTGTGGCACAATTCTGACCTTGCAACACAAACCTAGGTTTGTGTATCAACCTTTTTTTGTATAAACAGATCGCTACACCTTTAAAGGTGTCGGTGCAAACTATAAATTTTAGAGCCATCTTCGTAAGGTAACAAGTGTGCTGCAGCTACTCCCAAGTCACCTAAATAATAGCACGGTATTAAGTTGAATAATAGTTTAACGTGGTCCTGTATGGAGAGTATCAAGAGAATGTCTGAACTGCTTCCAGAGTATATGCTTAACAGTTTCCAAATAAATGTGTGAACCACATCAGATGATATGAAGTGTGTGTGTGTATGTCAGCAGCTACAAGCTCATTTACACATAAATACTATGTGGGCAGACAGATAACACCACACGATATTGACAATAAAGCTGCTATAATGCCAGTTGTCACATCTGGGCAACATTTTGAATGCAGCTTTTGGTTTTATACCACTTTATAATACCATTTGAATGTTTACCTTCTATAATTTCATGCCTTAGTTATTTTTGTGGAGCAATGTTAGTAATTCTTTTTCCCAAGTACAAACTTTTAGCCCGTAGCTCCGTCATATCGTGACTGATTTGAGATCTAATTACAAATTTTAAACTCGGGAGGTCAAACCCTTTCGAGTGATGTATTTGACCACCCCCAAAGTCTCAGATCAATTTATTCTAATCCTGCCGAAAATAATTTCAATTTGAAGGTAGAGTGGTTGAGATCCTGATGAGTAATAAAATAAAATCGGGTACACACGCGCCCCGCACTTGGTATTGCTGGCACACAAAAAATATAGCTAATAAAAAGGGAAAAAAGGTCTTATAGATTAATTCTACCTAAAAGAATTTCAAGTGGCACAGCTATTGAGGATTCCCTCTTGTTTTTACTTTAAAATGTTTCATTTGTTATAGTCTGTACCTTTGCAACAGACATTTTTGGTGTACAATAAAAGATTGAAAGGAAATAACCTCAGTGGTTTAGTCCCAGGGTAGACCTACAACACATCATTCCATACCAGTAACACTTAGTTTCCAATTCCCTTTCATTTCTGAAGTATTTTGTCTATCAAGGAACTTCTGAATCACCTGGTATATATACATATATATTATGGAGAATAGGCAGAACATGAACCAACTGCACTTAATGAACTTTACTTAATCAGAAACAGTTGTCTCATGTCTGTCTATGTTTAAACAAGAAAATGTAATACTAAAACGAAAGAAATAAAATCCACCCTTAACTCGAAGATTAAGATCAAAATCAATTACTGTTTCATCTGTAAATGTATTTTTGTTGTTTTTGAAACTTGGGGCTTTCATTATGAAATTATATGGCAAATAGCTTTATAAGTAATATTAGTACCTTGTTAAAAATCCAAACTTACTCAGTATTAAAACTTTTAATTGAATGTATTACTGTGTTGTCACTTAAGTAAATAAAGATTTATTAGAATTGAATTCCATGTGTTTAGTGTAACCTTATTCATGTCATGCAGATTTTAAACTCTCAAAAACATTGTAATTTTTTCATTAATATTAGTTCTTTGGAATTCTGAATTATTGCTGTCAAAATCAAAGTTTAGTTTCAATGACTTTTAGGTCAGCAGGTTAGCCACGGGAGGGAATACATTGGAATTTAAATCCACCAAAATTTATGGACCTAGAATAAAGTGTTATTAATTAAATGCTAATGTTTATTCATAGTGCTACCAATAACAACTCTACATATTATCATATAATGGTGAACAAATATTAAAAAAAGTAAATCCTATTTGATTTGAAACTCACAGTAAGGGTTAGAAACATACAATTAAATGAAACAACCTGTGCTGCCACTGTAAGCACTTGGATAGTGTCACCAACCAAATAAATGTTGACTGTGTTGTATATCTACTTCTAGTATGCATTAATTTTCTTGACGTTTTTTTTATTGAGATTTCAGTATTATGGTGTGAATAGATTATAGCAAAAGTTTTTTTATGTATAAATCAAATTTTCATAACCTTAAAAAAAATGTGGTTAAACTTTAACATTTTCTTTAATGATGTTTAGATTTCAGACTTCCCAGTGAAACCTATTAAAAAAAACGTTATTTTCATTATATATTTTATTTTTGCTCAAAATAGGCCAAGAAACGTATAGATTTGAAGGTAAGCATTTTTTTTTCAACAGAAACATTGCAACATAATTTTAACATAATTACTTAAAACAGATCTGTAGAAATATGACAAATTTGGAGCATTTGTGTTGTGAGGGAAAAATTTAGACTTCATTATGACAACATACTTGGTAAAATACAGGTAATGATGTACATGAAATTTTATAGATGGGTATAAAAATTAATGTTTATCATTGGTCAAATATAAATTTGTTTATAGACATTTAAATCTTTATTTTAGTTTGTGAACCCATGATTTGCTTTATTTTTAGAAAAATGAATCTTTAAAAAGGCTTCAATTTTTTTCAATGGCCCACTGGGAGGGCTGATCTTGTTTTGTTGATGTTTATACTTAAACTAAAAATTTCCTAAGACTTCATATAGTGATATAAAAGTCCTAAGGTGGCAATACAATGAGATTTTTTAAGCCTAACAAGAATGAAAGCTTTTGATTTTTAATAACTTTTGTTAGGCTTAAAAAATAATTTCATTTAGTGGTTCAGGT